GAGGTGGTGTAGAGCTTCGAATCCCGAGTTTTTTCGCGCCCTTCCTACTCGGGATACACAGGGAGAATAAACAGAACAAAGGATTACAAGGCCGGTCAGGCTAAACGCGCTCATTGTGGCCAATCAAGTCAATAAAACCGAAACCAAGACAAAATAAAAAAGCTTTTGGCGCACGTTTTGCCATTTGGCGCATAATGGCACGAGGTATTAACTGCGGCGCAGGATGGCGCAGACACATGCGTCTGGCGCAAAATGGCGCAGCCGTTCCACCCCTGCCAATCTCACAATTTGGGAGCCCCATCCTATCCACGTTTGAGCACACCTGTGCACACGCTTTTGAGTCGAGCGAGTTAAAAATTAACAGAGTATTTTTATATGGCATGCATGTCTGTTTGCAAGCTCCACACTTTGTGCACCTGATTATCCCCCAAATGTGATCTAGCCATTTTTTTTACCCAAGTGCCTACCACTCAAGGAGCTCACTTGGCCACTTCGTCAGCGCATTCTGACTGCGCATTTTGTTTTGTTGCCCGTTGAAAGGGAGATTCTTCTTTATAATTTTCTCTAAGAGATTTTTCTGATGTGTGTGAACGATGCATTTTGGTGTACCTGCATGCCATATAGGTACTCCAATTCATAAGTTGGTTTTGGAGCAGGCAAAGGCATAGGGTCAGATGCACGATTTTAAAAAGCGTTCTCTCTGCATGAGTGCTCATACAAACCAAGTTGTCCTCAAGTGCCTGTGCCGTTGCCTGTGCTAGAGTCAAATCGGTCACACGAACCATCCAACACACCAACTGACCAATAAAAAGTGATAAAAGGTTCACCCACAAATGCTGTCGCATTTAAATTGAAAACAGGACAAGCTGAAACAAGCAACCCATTAAAAAAAAAGTACCATGAAACTTTCATTACATCAGTTATTTTATATCTACTAGAAATAAATATGTGAAGCCAACCGCTTAAAATTAATTTACAGAGACTATAATCGGGTCTGCACAGATAAAGAGGAAAAAGCCAATCTTGTGGAAGGCCTTCTTAATAAATGTGGCCTTTGATCTAGTGAAGCTGTACATTTTAGGATAAAATAAATGTTAGACGCAGATTTTTCTTCATAAATTGTAGACAAATAGACATCCGACTGCGACTGTGGAGGGGAGGAGGACAGAGGCAGCAGCTGCAGCTTTCTTCTCCTAGCACCTCAACCAAGTCGCATTAATTTGGATTGTGGGGACCTGTACCTGCATGTCGTGGCACAGAAATCTGGCGAGCACTGTGGATTTCCAAGCCAAAACATGCAGGCCACAAGACATTTTTCAAGGAATTGGGTGGCTAGCAGGACTAGTTGGCAGCGAAGCCACTGCCACCCACCGTGGGAAAAACCCTGGTTAGATGTGACCAATATTGTCCAAACAGTTTTCAGAAGGGTGCTGTCAGTCACATGAGGTTTGCTTTTATCTCAGACATGCTAGATTTTAAAAACTGAAGTATTTACTTGCCAGCAAAAAACATCTGCAGCCAACTCCACAAACTGACTTTTTCAAAGTTCTCAATCGTCAAAAACTGCTCCACGTTGTAGTTTCAAATGTAGTTCCTGAAAAAAAAAGACAAACACGAATGACAATTTATAGAAATGAGAGTTGCTTAAATTGTAGCTGGCTATAAGTATGCAAGGTAATCTCGCAGTGCAATGGCCACAGGAGACTGCCAGAAATCAGCGGACCTGTGCTCTAAGAAATTCCTACAAACAAGACTAAAGAACCATGCAGTTCCCTTTAGTTAAAGGTTACATTATAATGTGTTATAATATACAAGAAAGCAGATTTAGGATCTTCTTGCAGCAAGACCTTTCTTCTTGCAGCAAGACCTTGTATGCATCCACATTAACTAAGCGAAAAATATGCATTTAGAGGGCCCTTGCAATATTTGTCGCCTTGGTCAAGATACTTTATATACAAAAACTACCTAACTAAGCTAGTTAAGAAAAAGGTAACCTATAACAGTTATTCTTAAGAGGTAATTCCATTATTTTACCTGAGTTTTTTATTAAAGAAATAAACAAGGAAAAGTAGGAACCGTCTATGCTCAGGTTTATTGCACAAAGTGCCTGTATCCGTGTTATTACATCTTATGTTAAAGCAGCGGTTGCTTTTGTAAATTTTCATCCAAAATCTTTACTTTACTGAAGGCAAGCGCATCTATTTCCATCGCTGAACAAGCTTTCAACTGGCACACTCGGTGGAATGGCTTGCACACACAAGGATTTGTTCCTGGTAAAGACCTTAACGATACACAAAGCCAGTGCCGCTGAGGTTATCTTTCTCCACCACTGCGCCTCACAGTACGCACAACTTTTGGAGGGAGTTGAAAAAAAAAATTCTCCTCGTTTATCTGTTGTCAGTGTTTTCTCTGTATTCATAATCCAAAATCTTTTTGGTCGTTGTCTATCCATGACAATCTAGATATAAGGTATGCATCAGATTATGCTCCTCAATGTAACTGTAATTAGAAAGATTAGAAAATTAACTACAAAAGAACATTGCAACTTTTTTTTATCCAGAAAAGAATAATGTGATACAGAAGTTACTTCCAACAAACTTAGCAAGAAGTTACAGAAGTTACTTCCCACAAACAAGAAAACAATTGTTACATTAATATGTTACTTGCAACGAGTCACTACTTAATACTACCTGCGAATCAAACGTGGGAAATCATCGGCTACAAAAAGCCAGCAGCAGGTGACCCAGTAAGCTTGAATTTAGCTATAGTAACTACATTCAAATGAATTTAGCATATTAGGTTTGAATCTAGCTATAGTGCATAGTAACACCAGTTGGGGCCAAAACAATGTTACATGTGATGGACACTACTACATAACTTGTCGGAAAAGTGACATGAGCTAGATCAGCGTTGTCTCCCTCTCAGAGTCCTGTTCGATCTGTAATAACTCAGACCTTTTACTTACCATGAAAATACACCAGCGAAGTTGACTCCGTAACTAGAGTTGTTCAAATGGTTAAATCATCAAACATGGCTCGACATTTCGAGATGCTAACCGTATCTTCTGAAAAACAAGACATACACAAGACTGTCAGAATACCAGTTTAAGCACGCGAGAGTAGTTTAAATCGCAGTTGGTACTGGACATGCAAAGTAACCCTGCAGTGCAAGTATGGGGAGGCTGCCAGAGATCAGCCAACTTGTGCCCTGAAAAACCTCTACAAAACAAGAATGAACCATGCTTTTCCATTGCGAAGTTAACTCATAACCTGCTAAAATATGCATTAGAAAAAGCCTTGATACATGCTCCAACTGGGGCTTTAGTGGCACCATGTTAGATGTGGCTGATATTGCTACAACAGTTGTTGAAAAAGTGACATCAGCTACATCAGCGTTGCCTCCCTCTCAGGGACATGCTCAATATGTAAGAAATCAGACTTGTGACTTACCATAAAAAACACAAGCGAGGTTGACTCTGTAACTCGACTTGTTGAAATGGTTAAATCATCAAACATTTATCGACGTTTCGAGCTGCTACCTATTTTTTCTGAAAAACAAGACACACAAGACTGTCAGAATGCTAGTTTAGGCAAGTAAGAGTAGCTTAAATCACAGCTGGCACTAGACATGCAAAGTAACACTGCAGTGCAAGCATGACTGCAGGAGGCTGCCAGAGATCAGCCAACTTGTGCCCTGAAAAACCATCTACAAAGCAAAAATGAACCATGTAGTTCCATTTTGAAGTTAACTCATAACCTGCTAAAATATGGAATAGAAAAAAGCTTGATACATACTCAAACTGGGGTTTTAGTGGCACCATGTTAGAAGCGGCTGATATTGCTACAACAGTTGTCGAAAAAGTGACATCAGCTACATCAGCGTTGCCTCCCTCCCAGGGACATGCTCAATCTGTAAAAGCTCAGACTTGTGACTTACTATAGAAAAACAAAAGCGAAGTTGACTTCGTAATTCAACTTGTTCAAATGGTTAAATCATCAAACATTGCTCGATGTCTTGAGGTGCAAACTGTATTTTCTGAAAAACAAGACACAAGATTGTTCGACTATCAATTCAATCAAGTTAGAGCAGCTTAAATAGCAGTTGGCACTGGACATGATAAGTAGTCAAGCAGTACAAGCATAGCTGCAGGTGGCTGCCAAACCGGCCGACTTGTGCTTCGAAAAACCTGTATAAAACAAAAAGAAAAACCACGCAGCTTCACTTACTTCGAAGCTTAAAAGTTACTATTTAATAATAATACATTTAAGTATTGAACGAATAATTATTTTGTGCGAGAGCAAGGGGCAAAAAAGTTGCAAGGAGATAAGCTGCAAAATGGCAGGATGCTGGTTGCTGTAATTAAACAGATGCAGACTCCTGATAACACAGGATATGAATACCATATCATGTCAGCCACATCTGCCTTGACATTGTAGCACTCGCACTGCATGCATGCATCACCGGTTCACAGCAGCGTATCGCAGCAAATCATGCATTTGCTCTGGGGGCTCAAAAATTTTATAAATCAAACATCTTTATTTACAATTATAGGATGACTTCCAGTTTTAAATGAACGAGTGGAAATAAGTTTTATTTGCATACAGTTTCCAGACTTCTGTGTGGGCTTTTGCGAGTCGTTTCAGTTGCTTGTTTAAGATGGTGTGTCCTGGAGCATTCTCAGATTAAAAATTGGTACAATTGCAGAACCGTCATATTCAATGAAAGTATAAACAAAATATGACATCATTCGCTTCGATATTTGGAAGTTTTGAATATTCCCAAAGCCCTTCTTTACACTTCTTAAAAGGTTGGCGTCAGCCACATTAGAGTTATCTCCCTCTTAGAGACACGCTAGACACGAAGGAATTCAAATTTGCACTTACCATAAAAAAACATACAGATTCAAGGGATTTCTGTGGAGACTCATTTGAAGCCCTTCAGCAGCGCTAAAATCTTGCGATGGGCCGTCGTTCGCTTCACTGCTCCCATTTTCTTCAACCCCTTCTCCAGGTTGATTTGGAAGATTAGTCTAAGAGGATATATTGCATCATCTAACATTAATGCCATGCTTGCTTCATGAATACTCAGCCTGGTGAAGGTAAAGTTATTTTTTTTTGTATTATCAGGTCAGACTATGGTAGTGTTGGATCATGTTAAACCTGAAAGACTGCTGAACAAACACACATTCTATACACCGACACGCTATTTATACACAAGCCCGCGTTTGCCCACACCAGGTGTGGGCACTGCGCATGCGCAGAAACCAAATTAGCGTGAAATGAAGTGTGCGCGCATGCGCAGTGCCATCGACAGCGCCGCCGCAGCTGCAAGACGTCAGTGCTGCGTGCTGGTCTATACAAGATAACCATGTTTCCCAGCCTTGAAAGTTACAGCCTAATGACAACCAGTGTTCACATGTTATCAATTCATTATAGAAATGCATCAGCGTAATTTTTTGTAAAATTAATACAGCTCAAATGTTTGTGCGAGTTGTGAAAAAGGGCATTACGGCACGATAAATGAAAGGGTGATATAGATTATGTTATTCTATGACATATCCTGTGGACTTGACACATTTTAAGATTCTCTCCACGTTGAATAAACTCGAGACTGGCCAAAGCTTCCTTTAGATACGTAAATTCAACACGCAAAAAGCTCCAAACAAGACGCATACCGCCTTCAAGAATGGCATAGGCTCTTTAAACATTGGCTGACGCTCGGTGACAAGGAAGCGTGCAATTGTTGTTGATGACGCCTCCTGAAAAAAATGAGCTTGCATCTCAGACGATTTGAATCTGCAGGAACGGTGGCTAAGCTCTTTACAAACAGTCCGACTGCAGAGCCAAGATTAATGCATACAATTTTACAGTCCGTGGAACAGTGGTATCACGTGCCCTCCTGAGGGGCGCCATGCAAGTAATGAGTGGACGTATATTGCTTTAATATACACATAGAATATTATGAGCATAAAAAGTAATATCAATACGATGGTCTTTGACCATGTGGTTGGGGGGAATCAGCGTAGGTGACACAGGTGCATTCTGTGAAATGAGAAATTCATCAGCTGCATTGTGATTGCTAACTAGTGAACGCGCATCACGCAGTGGTGATACACCGGTAGGAATCAGTTCATCGAACGACGTTTCCTCGACAGATCGTTTCATCAACAGCTCAAATTAGTGTTTTTTTTTTGTTTCTTTTTTAGGGGGGGGGGGGGGTTAATAACCTGCACGAGACTGTCGCCGCGAAGCGACCTGTACGGGTCGGTTAGGTGGGTTAACATTTTTGTAATGTGCAGCCGCAGGCTGTCACCGCGAAGTGGTGTGAACGCAGGCGGGAGTGCGTTAACGCGCACTTCACTGATACACGCGTGGCGAAACGACCCTGCAGCGTGAAATTCGCGTAACGAGTGCCGATGAAACGTTCGTGTCGACGAAACGTGTCCATGAAAAGTTGTCCACGAAACGTACTTCCGCGAAACGAATTTCGACGAAACAATAGGGACCCCCCGGCGAAAAGAGCAGGCTACAGGCCGCGCGAACAACGTTGCGAAACTCGTAAAGCACACTCACGCACTCAGACAATGCGTTGTCATGTGCTTTACTGCAACACTCCTGCCAGCCAGCACGCGCGAACAACCTCCCAATCGCTACGAACGACGAACCGCGCGTACCAGCGAGCTCGCGACATGACACAAGGTTCAAACGAGTACCGGACATGAGCTTTCAATTCTGAGAAGAACGTCAAACACGAACTGAGATAGCGGCGACCGTCATTGAACCCGAAAGTTTAAAGCGATGCAAATCCGTGATTTCGTTCCTTTCGAGGAAATAAGTGTCAAAAATACGAACGCATATATGACAGTCCCCAATCAATGTTAATAAAAAGAGCAGAACAAACTCACCGTTTTGATAACAACAAGGTAGTTTAACGTAGAACAGTCGCAACCGCAAAAATCACCAAACGCCTTTACCCCTCGACAAAACAAGCGCAGTAGCAAAACAAGGAAAACAAGCGAGCGGAGATGGGTAGATGAAGAGATAGCGGTAGTGTGATTGTTCTAGACAAAAATCTCACCTCGAGCCTTTTCGACTAAGCGGTAACTAGCGCCACCTCGTTTCGGAACCTTTATTATAAGTTGTTTAACAGTGCAATAAATGATATTTTAAAGAGTGAGAACCGTTGTCTATTAGTCTAAACCAAATAAGACAATTTTCAGCTTGTTGCAAACAACTTTTGTTGTTGTTTACAGAATCGTAACTTTAGATTTACGGACAAGTCAACCGTATTTCAGATTACGGATGCTTCTCCGTAGCTTTTAATGAGAAGTTCTACGTTTTTTTACGGAACGTTTTTACCGTGTAGCGAACACTAAACAAATTGCGGTCTTTACTGTGCACATAACAACTTTATCTAAGTACGTGAAATACCGTAAATTAATGAAACAATGCCTATCCCGAAAAATAGCCAAAGCCACATTTCGTGTCTATTTCTCGTCCATTGGTTTGTGTTCATTTGGGATCTGACCGTACCTTTTTCGCAGCATCGGAATAGTTCCATCAAGAATACAGGGGGAAATGGATAATATCTGCCCAATGAACTGTTCATATTCTAGCGGCCTGCACTACCTCTCAGTATGTCAGAAGGTCTCCCAAGTTATAGCAAGGTATTGGGCGACAGTTCGGTACAGTATTGCATTTAGACTTAAATTTGACCTCGTAATATTTGTGCTTTCGTACTTTTCTGGGTTATACTGTGACATCGTGTTTGATTATGAATCTTCTGAAGTATAAGATCGACAAAGTGCCTCAATACTGAGGGAAAAGTCCGTTATGTGTTGATTCTTTTATTTATTAAGCAATACTACTTCTCCGAAAATTGGCTGAATAACAAATGCTGTAGAGACGACCAATGCGTAGATAACACATCAATACATCTACAAATACAAATTTAAATCTCAATAGAGTCACTTTTCGTGCATGAACCTTTCAGGAAAATCTTCTTTAAGGATGTTATCGAGCTGTTTCTTTAAACCATTTATAAATATGAATAAAAAAGAAAAGTTCAACTTAGTTACACAGGTCTAAAGGTGTAAGACCCCAACGTTAGATTCATAACAAAATGTATATATATATATATATACACATTTGGAACAGGGATGGGCAAAATACATGCAAATATGTATCGAAATACAAATACAGAATACTTAGTCAAAAATGTATTTAATTACAAATCTCATTACATTTCCAAAAAAAAGCATTTAAGTACAAGATACAAATACAACCAAATCTATTTGGTCTCCTCCAAACATTTTTCCAAATACATTCCTCAAAATATGCGTCAGCGACTTCAGAGCAGCTGCAACGTATTTCTGGGTACCTCATTTTAATTTTGTATCGCACACTCGCGAGTTAGTGTGCGAGGCTCTAGTAACGTAATAGAAATATAATCACAGAAGGATGTAATCAACTTGGACGTAATCGGTGAAAGAAGTACAGAGCTTCAAGCAGCTTTTTTTGTCGATTATATTTTGGTATAGACCAACAAAGAACCGAGACGACCAAGACGCGCAGCATTAGCTAGAGAATTTTTTATTGTTGTAACTCGCACCAGTTACGAAAATCTGGACGACCCGCGCATTTAAAATGTTCCAGGCAAAACTATAGATGGAAATCAGGCTGGAAAGCATCACAAGTTGTCACAGGCACTTATTTAGAAAGTCTGCCTGTTAACGTCGATTTTGTCAATAATCTTGCTCTGGACTAGCACCGTAATCACAAAGTCACTAAATGCTTGTGCTTGATTGAGAGACTCCGCATTCGGTGCAGAACGTAGTTTTTTTCTGCTCTGGACACGTCTTAGGGTGAGCAAAATGAGTCGTGACAATAAATTTGAGGGATGCATTTTCGCCCACAAAATTGTATTTAATTACAATTGCATTTGAAATACCCACGTTTTATTGTTTAAATACACACGTCAATACATTGCCCAATTTGTAATTAAATACAAATGGAAAATACATAACGTACTTAAAATACGTATTTTAAATAATTGCATTTGAAATACTGCCCATCCCTGATTAGGAGTTATATATTCCATTCAATAACTCGCGAGAAAACTTTTTCACACTACGCAGCGCGATAATCTACTGTCAGACGTAAGGCCTGAAGTAATGTCGTTCAACAAGCATGCTAACTCTTATGGTATTATTGTCTTGTGAATGTCTTTCACAAAATGCTTGGCAAAAACAACTGACCATCTAAACCACTAGTTTCTACAGATACGCACACCTGACAGGGGCGCTGTATGCCACTGAAAATTATTATTCCGATTCTCTCGCTTCTTCCAGGGGAGGTGTAATGCGATGGCATTTGGTATCTGTTGACTCCGCTATCGAAACCCCTACAGAAGTCCACTACGAGTTCTTTTTACGTACAGCTGACAGGTTCTTACGTCACTTCTTCTAGGTCAGGCCACAGCGCCTGTTCTCCATGAGCTCCGCTGGTTCAAATGTGACGTCCCCAGGCGTGTTAATAACTGCACATACTGAAAAGCATTGTGGTGGTGGACAGTATATGGCTTACGCTCTATCACAAGTTATCTGTTTAATTTGCCGTGATGATACAAATAAATTTGTCATTTAAAGAATGTGGATAAAAACTTTATCCGGGGAATCCGCCGTGGAACAGCGAATAAGAAACGAATGTCTGCAATCTGGTCCTTCGCGCAAAAACAAGTTACTTGTTTTATATATTCTTCTCTTTAAATCATGTGGTTGTTGAGCTTTCACCTCTCTCCGAGTTTACTTTTGTCCGGACACTCTAAATTTTTTTCCCTACTTGAAACTGGGCCAATAAAACTAATCCCCGAACGTGAGAAACCTAGTTCGTGTTTTCTCTGGAAAATCCTTCAGTGTACAAGTCCCGCTGCACGGCGACTAGCGTAAATATTTTATCAGCACGAATAGAGAAACTTGGTTTCAAAACAAAAGTCAGCGCTTGCGAAGGTGCGCTGGAAAAAATCGTGCTTTAAAATTTCTAGCAATTTGTAAAAAAAAAAAAAAAAAAAAGAAAAAAATACTACGCATATACGTCGTTTGTTCTGGACGTGACGACGATTTCCGGATGGTGATTTTTTTTTCCGCTCTCTTATTTATCTACTTATTCGTGAGTTGTTCGTGGACTACATTTTACTGGCACTCATAAAACAATCCACATTGTGCGTTATGCCTCCCTCACATTTTTGTGCTTTTATCATAGAGCTAAGCGGAGCGATGCGATTACTGTAACGGCGGAGCATCAACAACCGAAGGCGGTACGAAGCTTGGAACAAATGGCCGGCACAGCCCCGTTTCCGGAACTTAAGAGTGGCACAGTTTCCAAACGCGCACTCAGAGGATCCGCCGCTTCGCGGAAGAGAAAGAATGGTGTACATTATTCTAACGTTTGCAAAATCACCGCCCATCGTGTGATCTTCACAGCCAAACACGGGCATGTTCGTCCCTTCGGAAAGCGAGAAAAGTGCGCGCCATACGCGCAAACCCGGAAAATTGCACAGGCCGGAATCATGTTCATGGAATGGTCTATACTGTTTCACTCTACGTGCGAGCGATGCCAAAGCTACAAGAAACGAACATGCGGCTCTGAACGATACTTGCACAGGACGTTAATACGTTCTTGGAAGTGAAGCTGAAAGCAAAGAGCCTGTTCAGTTGTCTCTCCCGCTTGCTCGCAATTAAAGTGAAGCACGCCCGTTAGCGCACAGCAGAATGGTGTTCAGCCTATATTAGGTGAACCGACGCCTGGTTTTTGTATCACCGCCATAAATCTTCAGAATAGGGATTCGTTGTTTCTTGTGAACTAAAAACTGAAAGGAGCGGTTGGAGCCACATACTTTTGAGCGCCAATGGCATCACTAAAAAACTCGCCACAGACTCCTCATTCGGCTGACGTCAGAGAGAGGCAAGGGCAAAAGGAAGCGCGATTATGTTTAGGCTTGGTGCACTTATTAACGTGACGTTTAGCAAAACTTATATTCCGCTGATTCGTAAGCTGGCACTGCGGTGGAAGCTACGGTTTTGCTGGACCAGTCATAGTGTGTTTCTAGCCGATCTTTTCGCTACCTGATAATCTTTTCCTAGCTGATCACACTCACGCCCATGCACAGGCGCAGGGAGCGGCACCAGATGATTAAATGGAGACGGTTTCTTGGTCCTTTGAGCGCGTAGCTTCTTCCGCGTTGTCAGATTAGGGATTAACTGAGCAGAGTACACCTTGGCGCTTTCAGCTTCGAGTGGAGCGGCGTATTTGTTTGGGTAGCGTGTCTTGCGCAGCTCTTACCAGCATGTAGCCTAACATGCTTAAAACTCACTTTATACGATCCGCAGAAATGTGTTACTCTACTTACCGCGCTACGATTTATCTCAGATGTTTTTCTAGAGGGTAGCAGTTTGGGGTGAGAGCATTCACGAGCCTGATTCAGTCAATCTAATACGGCATTCACAGACTGCTCGTGTCGTCTCCGAAATGCTGCCGACAGATGCCGATACATCGAACGTAGGTGATCATCATTCGAAACTTTTGGCTACACTTCATTCAGCGGGGCGCGCGTCTCTGTATTGTAGGCTTATTAAATTGAAATATGTTTTAATAAACTTAAAATTAAAAAGAAGGTATTAAGGTTCATCACAACCCCCCCCCCCCCCCGCCCCCATTTCTCATGCACAGATAATCACGTGGCAGTTTTATTTCTCTGTTAAAGCAGGCAATTTTATGTGTTGAATTTTTCTCTCAGAGCTTTTACCACCTAGGTAATAAATCGCAGCGGGATATGTTTAAAAACAAATTTTGCGGATCATTTAATTTTGGTTACGAGCAATCGTCTACACGCCGTATATTGATACAGAGGGAAATGATACTTGCATTAAGACAACCATACCAGCTCTGCATAGTATATTAATAT